TTGGCTGAAATGCTTAAAAGTCAGATACTAAAACAAATTTTGGACTAACCTACAATCATCTCTGGGCTTAAATTTAAAATTGCTTCCTTGGGCTACCAGTTGTGAAAAAATCCTGAGACCGCGAGGTTGCAGATATAGGAAATAACTTCCTTTTCCTTTCTATCTAGTGGTCATCTGGATTTTTTGTAGGGCAAAAATCTGTTTTTATATCCTTACACGTATATCAGCAGAAACTTTATTTCAGAGTTTGTGCTTCGTTTTATTAGCAAAGATGGTGGCCAGGTGATCTTCGTGCCTTGAACTCTGCATTTCTCTTCTGTTGGAAGAAATATCCATCTGGTTCCATTCCAAGCTGGGAGAAAGACGTTGGAAACATGGAGGCTGATTGGAAAGATGGTTTATTGATGAAGCAGAACCACAGGGGTTTATGGTTCTGGGCAGCTGAGAAAATGGAGTTGAGAGTGGGGGGTTTTATACCTTCTTTGGACTTTGCACTTGAGCTTCCTGTTCCTGTGCAAGAACATGTATTCTATTGGCTGTTGCCGGATTCCCATGGAGTCATGTAAGGGTTATGTAGGGCTGGCTCTATAGGCAAAAGATGAAATGGAAATCCTAGGTGTTTGTCTGAGCTCCAAGGTTTGGTTGAAGTTTGGACTGCTCTGTGATGCTGCAATGACTGAAATACCCTTAGGAGATTGTGTAATGTAGTGAGCTCTGTGGGATTCAAGTAATTTAACAACCGGTTCTCTGCCCTAATGATTTCTTCCAACAACCAGTTTGCCAAACTGCTCAGAAAGTTAACAACCGGTTCTCCTGAAGTGGTGCGAACTGGCTGAATCCCACCACTGGCTCTGTGTCTTCTGCTAAATAGTAGTGGGTTAATCCTATTATGTCCTGAAGGGTCAGGTCCTGTTCTTCTTAATCCCATCACTCTGGAGCTGAAGGTCTTTTGTTTTGTAGATAGGCTGGCCCAGTCTTTCTTAATGGGCACAAAATATCTGCTGGGGGGTGGAGGCTATTAAGAAAGAGAGAGTCTGCTTCCTGCCTCTAAAAAAAAAATGTTTCTCCATTTCTCATTTAGGGAAATATAGCATTCTGCCTTTTTTAAATATTCCTCAAAATATTTCATTCTTCTAGGAGGGGCGGGGCTTCCCACACTTCTTAACATTCTCTGTATTCATATCAGATTTGGATCTGACATGATGGGAGAATTATTCTTTGACAATAATTCAAATTAAATAATTTGTTTTCTGGTACCATAGTAAATGTGGCCCCCCCCCAAAGCACTTTTTGCATTACCAAGTATGGGAATTTCTGCACTGAAGATTCAGTTTTGGTTAAAGTTTTACGTGTCGCTAAGTGCGAGCAAAAATAAATTGTTTGGCGATGAAACCAAAATCATGTAGGAAATGCGTCATATTTGTTTGTTCCTCCAAAACCAACTGACCTTATTATATTTTATTTATCATCAACCTTGGCCAGAGAAGAAAAGAAACCACACAACATATTAAGATTTGTTTTCCTCTTCAGACAGACACACGGCAGGTTTTAAAGCAGTAAGGCCATTGTTTGTATCACCTGCAGGGACCAAAGTCTGTGAAATCCAGGTGATTTCACCAGGCAAACAAAGAAAGAAACCTTTGGCAGGAAAAGAAATGCCGTCAGTTAAAAGAGGGAGGGAAACAGCTTGTTCAGCAAGCGGCTGCTTGGAATTTTCCCGTCTTCTGAAGGGTTTTTTCTCCATCTAGTGGAAGAATGGAAATCTTCAGCTTGAAACGATTAGCTGTAATTATTGCACTTAATTAAAATGGCCATGGAACACACCCTCCGTCTTTAATTGGGTGCCCATCATCTGGAATCGCAGTCCAAATTCATGTGCAAGGCCCAAGTTGGGGAAGGCTAGAGTCTAATTATTATTTTACAGAGAAGAACAGAAGCGTGGACACAAAGATCTGTAATTCTCCTAAAGCAGGGGTGATAAACTCAAGGCCCGTGGGGACAGCTTGGAAACAGAAAAGGACCAGCCTGCAGTGCCTCTGCCAGTGAAAACAGAGCTCGGGGGCAGGGGGGCATTTTCGCTGGCAGAGGGCTAGCAAAACAAACTAAAAACAAAAGGAGAAATGTTTCCCCTTTTGCATTTGGGCATGCAAGAAGGGACAAGAAAGGAGAAAGGGAAAGAGGAAAGACAAAAAAAGAAGGGAAGATGGGAAAAGAGCAAAGAAGGAAAAATAAGGGAAGAGGAGAAGGAAGAAGAAAGGAGAAGGAAGAGAGAAGGAAAAAGAAGAGGAGGGAGGGAGGGAGGAGATTATTATTTTTTTCAAAAATGTTTTTATTTTTGTTTCTCAAACATATTTACATGTACAGTCATTTATCCGCCATTTTTCATTCATCTTATCTTTTAACTTTCATTTTTAATTATTCAGGTCTGCTCTTTTGCCATTTATCCTTCTTTATTTTGCCACAACCTTTCTTCTCCTCCCCTTCTCTTCCTTCCTTTATCTCCTCCTACTTTCTTCGTTCTTTCTCTCCTTCTCTTTCCTACTTCCACTTCCCTTCCCTCACTCCTCTCTTCTTCCCCCCTTCTAACCTTCTCTCCTACTCCTCTTTCCCCTCCCTTTTCTTCCTCTCGGAGGAGATTATTAATGAGAGTGAGGAAGTGTCTCAGGGAAGTCCTGCCTTAGCACTTGGACCCCACAGGTGCCCCCCCGGCATGAGTGACATTGAGCTGGCCACACCCACTGTGGCCATGCCCACCCCGGCCACACCCCACCCTGGCCCTCTGAAGTCAGACACAATCCTGATGCAGCCCTCAATGAAATTGAGTTTGACACCCCTGTCCTAAAGGCTTCAGAGAAATGGAACAAGTGTAGGATTCATCCCTGCGCTGAGTAAATTTATCTCCCAAGGTGCCAGGAATTTGGAGAAGATTACAGATAGTCCTTGACTTTCAACTGTTTGTTTAGTGACTGTTTCGAAGTTACGGTGGCATGAAAAAAATTATTTATGACCATTTTCCACACTTACAACCATTACATGGAAAAAAAATGATTTATGATCATTTTCCACACTTACAACCATTGCAGCTTCCCCCTGCTCACATGATCAAAACTTGGAGTCTGGGGAACGGTTTCATATTTATGATGGTTGCAGGGTCCCAGAGGTCATATGATCCCCGTTTGCGACCTTTGGACAAGCAAAGTCCATGGGGAAGCCAGATTCAATGCAGCACCGTATTATTGACTGAACAACGGCAGTGTTTTGTTTAACAACTGTGGCAAGAAAAGTTGTAAGATGGGGCAAAATTCACTGAATAGCTGTCTCGCTTAGAGAACAGAAACTTTGGGTTCCATTGGGGTCATAAGCTGAGGACTACCTATAGTGACCCAGGACAGGGTTTATGAAGTGAGGTGGTGTGTGTCACCAGAGGTGGGATGCTGCTGGTTCAGACCGGTTCGCCCGAACCAGTAGTTCTAATTCTGCACGGTTCGGAGAACCAGCAAATTGGACCACCACCTGGCCCCGTCCCCACCCATTTTTTCAGGCCATTTTTCCAGCCAAAATCAGCCTGAAAATCAGCCTGAAAACGGCCCAAAAATGGCCTGAAAACGGCCTGGAAAATGCCCACAAAACAGGCTGTTTTTCAGGCCATTTTTCAGGCCAAAATCAGCCTGAAAAATGGCCTGAAAACAGCCCGAAAAATGGCCTGAAAACAGCCCCAAAGAAGGCCTGAGAACGACCTGAAAAATACCCAAAAAACAGCTTAGCCAGCTTCTCTTCCTCTTGTAGCCAGCTTTCCCAGTCTAGCTTGGCACAGTCTCTCTCTCCCTCCCTCCCTCCCTCCCTCCCTCTCTCTCTCTCTCTCTCTCTCTCTCTCTCTCTCTCTCTCTCTCTCTCTCTCTCTCTCCCTCTCTCTCTCTCTCTCTCTCTCTCATTCACACACTCACATACACACACACAAACAGGTTGGATCTTTCTTTCCTCCCGCCCCCTCCCACCGGAGACCCCTAGATTCCCTCCCCAACCATGCCTGTCCCATACAGGTACCACCCACACAAGTGATGTAGAGTTGGCCGTGCCCACTCAGTCACATGAACCCCCCCCCAGTCACGCCCACCCAGCCACACCCACCCAGCAGAGAACCGGTTGTTAAAAAAATTTGGAACCCACCACTGCATGTCACCTATCCATATGTTTCAGGAATCGGTGTCATTAAAGAGAACTGTGCTGAGGAAAAAGTGTGAGAGTGTTAAGAAGAGTCGGTGAAAACCGTATTGTGATTTGTATTCATTCTTCGGAGAATAAGCTTTCTGTCTTTTGTCACCCATCTTCACTTTTGTCTCAGAGCAAAGTGTCTGTGGAGATTCTCAGTCATCCAGGACACGGTTGTCCCAAAGGTGCTTTTTCAAAAGGCAACTGAACTTTCTGGGTGTTTCCTTGAAGACATTTCACTTCTCATCGGTTCTGGCAGGATGGTGGGAAGGGATGGAAGGATCATATTTCTTTGCAGTCATCTGGTCGTTAAGTACTCTCTCTGAAATTTGTCAAAAAGCCAATAAGAGTTGAAATATTAAAAAGGGCAAGAGATGATGGATAAATACCTAATACTTCCTAATATGGGAATTGCTTTATTAAGGGTTAGAAAATAGAGGTAGAAAGTAGAAATTGGGGAAATATCATTATGTATACTGCTACATAATATAAGACATTATAATTACTATGTATACGTAAATGTTAGAAGTTGAAAGATTATCATCATGTATATCCAAATAGTATTATTATTGTTATTAGTATTGTTTATAAAGTACAAGTAAATTGATCCAGGCAATTCACTGTTCACTAAGCACTTATGTATGTCAAAGAAAAAACTATAAATAACATTATATATATATATATATATATATATATAAAGTACTCTCTCTGAGAGCCATTGAGGCCACTTGAGGGTTTATCTGTGCAAAGGGAATCAACACCTGACTTCCTGTTTTCTTTCTATTTCACAGTTCAATTTCACCGTTTAGCATTGAGAGCACAAGACGCCAGAGACGGTCTGAGTCTCCAGACTCTCGAAAGCGCCGCATCCACAGGTGTGATTTTGAAGGGTGCAATAAGGTTTACACGAAAAGTTCCCACCTGAAGGCTCACCGGAGGACCCACACAGGTGAGCAGCTCCAGCAATGTTGGTACCATAAATACATGTGACATTAGTGAACATTTGCAGCCATGAATTCAAGTGATGATTGCAGTTTGAAGAGCTGGACAGAATTCCATACAGTACAGTTCTCTTGGGAATTCCCACCCGCCATGTAATCCTAGCAACCAAGGCTTCCCGTATTTTTCTGTAAAGGTGGAGAAACAGGGCATGTGCTGTCAATTAAGATGAAGGGCTCAAATCCAGTCAAGAATCTGGATGAATTTCTTGTGATTTTCTTGCTCTAGATGGTTCCTTGTAGTTATCTCTACTGACATTCCAGTTGGACATCAGTTCAGTTCAGGAGAAAAAAGTGGTAATGGGTGTCCATTCTGTATCCATTCCTCCAGGCACTGAGAAGGGCTCCCCTGCCCCAATTGCAAAAAATATCTCTCTCCATCCTTTACCTACCTACCTACCTATCTAACCTATCTCCTATCATCTATCTATCTATCTATCTATCTATCTATCTATCTATCTATCTATCTATCTATCTATCTATCTATCTATCTATCTATCTATCTATCTATCATCTATTAATTTATCAAACTTATATAGCCACCTAAACCATCAGAAGTGATTTTGGGCAATATTCAAAAACCTCTGGCTATTTTGGATGGATTTTCATTCTCCAGATAGAATGGTATTTGAGAGGTGCAGGAAAACCTCAGGACTGTAACTGATTAAAAACATTGTTAAAGCATAGGCTAACTACCCACATTACATCAAGTAACGGTTGCTCATTCACATGGTTGACTGATCTCAGGTGGGCTCACATCAGGATGCTTGTATAGAGCCATCAGAAGGGGCCCAGTTCCTTTCAATGCATCTGCATTATTAGCATCACAGTTAGGTGAAAGAAGCTAGGATGCACAAATAAATTTGTACTCTTTTCAGAAGCATGCCTGAGGTTGCTCCTTGTGTCCTTCACTCACAGGGTTCCTCCCTTTAACCAAAGCTCTGAGACTTTCCTTCCATCTGGAGGGCTAAGAGCATTCTTATGGGTTACTGAAGAGGATTGTCTCAATCTGGAAGGGATTCTGGGTGATCTCTTAATCTGTCTACATTAGGAACCTGAGTTGGAGCTGGGCTGCCAGAAAACCCTCATACTGTATAGAAGGATGCCACAGATGGTGAGCAGTCTAGCTCATCGTCTCTTTATGGGTCTCTTTGATAAAGTTTTAGGAATCCCAAGGTGACCTGGCACAGAAACTGAACACTGCATTCCCAGGTCCTTTTCAGACAAGATCTGAGCTGGAGACTTTGTACCAGGAAAGGATGGCAAGCCCCCAGGCCCTTCAATGTGAGAAAGCAGTATGCATCTCTCCTTGTGGTTAGCCCCACTCCCTCTTACAAAACCAGAAAAGTTATGAACTTCCCATGGCGGCGTGACAGAGAAGGATCGACATGAAGCAACCCATCTCTGTGCCTCTGGCTTCTAACAGCTTTACGTTACCCTGCGGGAACAAAGGACATCCATAAGTTTCAAGTCCTGTGGCTCCATTGGCCTCCCCTTGGAGACTGTCTCCTGAGCAGTCCTGAGCATCACAATTCCTCCTTGGCTCAGAAGAGCTTAATTTGATGTCCAGGTGTTTGGATTCCCAACTGCCAATCCTACAGCACAGAAGGCTCTCATGAAAACATCACAAGATGCATAAAATTATTTTAATCACCTGCATTTGAAAGTTTGCTTCACAATCAGCAGTCTTTTTACAGCCAATTAAGTAAAAAAAAAAATCAGTAGTTCTGTGCTTGAGGGTCAGGATCCTCAAACTTGGAAGAAGACTTAAGGGACCTGCCTTTTTTTATTTAGGGCTCATAAAACAAAATTGTGTTGGCAGGTAGGAACTTGTTAAGATAGGGAGTAGGACAAAAGATTAACAAAGCCTAAATAAGGATCTCTTGTTAAGTAAAGCGCATGTAGTCAAAATTGATAATAATCTAATTAACGAGCCAGTGAGCAAACTTGTTCCTACTAAAATATACTTTAACTCGCTTAGATGCAAACAACTTCATTTTTTCCAGGCCAAAATGTTTAATGATGTCCCAAGGAGCTGAAAAGTCATATGCAGTATGTACAAATATTCCATAGGTTAAAATCATTAAAAGGAAATATATTCACTCCTAGCATACAGCATATAAGCGATGTTTGAGCAGGGCCTGCAGTATTGTCTGGGACGCCATCAGTGGTGGGATTCAGCCGGTTCGCACCACTTCGGGAGAACCGGTTGTTAACTTGCTGAGCAGTTTGGCAAACTGGTTGTTGGAAGAAATCATTAGGGCAGAGAACCGGTTGTTAAATTACTTGAATCCCAACACTGGACGCCACACATCCTCTTCACAACCTTGTTACCTTTTGGGAGGAGGCTTTGCGGTATCCGAAGTAGAACATCCAGATTCAGTCACAGTTTAGTTTTGTTCCATATAACAAAAATCCTTGTGAACTCTCAACTTTCCTCTTTCCGCTATGTATTCAAAATGGACAGTGATTAATGTGTGTGTGCATGCGTGTGCGTGTGTGTATACATATATCTATACAGTAGTGGCCAAAATTATGGAAACCTTTTGGGAAAAGTGTATTGTTGAGGTTTGATGGCTAATAGCCCAGTCCTTCTTAACCCAATTGAAAATCTATGGAGCCGACTAAAGAAATTTGGTAGTCAGAAGCGACCCAGCAATAAAACCCAGTTAATAGAAGCAATCATTCAATCTTGGTTTCACATTAGAACAGCTGCAGAACTAAAAGTCTTGGTTCACTCCATGGGAAGACGTTGTAAGGACGTAATTCATGATAAAGTTTGCCCAACTAAGTATTAACTGATGTGATAATTTTTGTATATCTCGTTTCTTCTATGTGTTTCACTTTTCTTCTTTATACTGTAACCGCTATTCTAATAGCAAATCCTTCATAAAAGTTATTGCATTACATTCTTGATTAAATTATCTTTCCATTGATATATAATTTTATGGTACTACTCCCCCCCAAAATGTGGTGTTATTAGCTAGTTTTAGAAAATACATTTTTCCCAAAAGGTTTCCACAATTTTGGCCACTACTATATATCTTTATCTATCTATGTGTGTGTATGTGTGTATACATGTTTATAGTATGTGCATATGTGTGTTACGTATATATATATGGGTAGATATATACTTTCTTTTGAGAGCAGGCAACCGAATTTCATTTTTAACGTGTGCCAGTGTGCTCACAATTTAAAAAAAAATGACAATAAAGGTTATCTTATCTTCTGTAGGCCATTTGGGCTGTTGAAAATTTAAAGGTTTTTAAGAAGAGACTAAGGAGACTTTTAAGAGGTTTTCAAGAAGAGGCTAGACAGCCACTTATCTGAAATAGTATAGGTTATCCTGCTTGAGCAGAGGGTTGGACTAGAAGACCTCCAAGGTCCCTTCCAGCTCTATTCTAATCTAAATTCTAAAATATCTCCCGTATAAATGGTGTGGATTCAGGTGTATGGAAACTACTGTTGTCTTTATTTTTTCTTTCCTGAGTGGAATGAGTCAATTATTATTATTTTTTATGATCTAAAGTAATTGGGGTATCTTATGGACCAGGGATAAATGAATCAGGACAGCTCTGTACCAGTGGTGGGTTCTTCCCGGTTCGGTCCGGTTCAGCCGAGCCGGTAGCGGTGACGATATGACGTCACCGAACTGGTTCTCCCCCCCCCCACCCTCCCACGTTATTCTTACCTTTTATTTGGTCCCACCCCCAATCTATGGCTGCCTCCTGAATCCCAGCTGATGACTAGAGGGAAAAAAACTGTTTAAACTCTTGCCGCGGGGCTTCAAAGGGCCGCCCTACAGCTGATCAGTGTTAAAAGCAAACAAATGAGTCGGGTCGTAAGTGCGAGGACTGGTCGTAAGTGCGAGGACCTTCCAGAAATGACTCTGACCAGCTAGCCACGCCCACCTAGTCACATGACCTCCAAGCCACACCCACAAAATAAGCCACGCCCACAGAACCGGTAGTAAAACAATTTAGAACCCACCCCTGCTCTGTACATAAGGAGAAACAGAAGAAAACAGATCACTGAAGCTTCTGTTGCTTCGCTATAGACTTGTATACAGTCTGGGATTGCAGCTTAGCCATTGCTGAATTTACATAAAAAAGCAATATGTTTTGTATATTTTGAAACAATCATGCACCTGAATATATTCGTAATATCAGAGGACTGCCTCTGAAATGGTCCAGATAAGCACCAGTTGCTTCTCCCTGGAAGTACAAAGCAACCAGTTCTAAGGATATATTGTCTGATGTATGAGGAACTTGACTCTCAAACCTCTGAAGAAAAAAAAAAAAACCAACTTGGGGGATTCATATTAATTAGAAAACTGTCTTCCTTCACATGCAGAAAATCATAAGGTTCAATCCAGTGGTGAAATCCAAAATTTTTTTTACTACCAGTTCTGTGGGGGTGGCTTGGTGGGGGTGGCTTGGTGGGAGTGGCAGGGGAAGGATACTGCAAAATCTCCATTCCCACCCCGCTCCAGGGGAAGGATACTGCAAAATCCCCATTCCCACCCCGCTCCAGGGGAAGGATACTGCAAAATCCCCATTCCCATCCCACTCTGGGGCCAGCCAGATGTGTTATTTGCCAGTTCTCTGAACTACTCAAAGTTTCCACTACCGGTTCTCCGAACTGCTCAAAATTTCCACTACCGGTTCTGCAGAACCTGTTAGAACCTGCTGGATTTCACCCCTGGTTCAATCCCTCTTCTCCAAGTAGAAGGACCAGAGAGAAGTCCTCTGACAGTGAGAATAATCAATGAGTGGAACGGCTTGCCTCCAGAAGTTGTGGATGCTCCATCACTGGAGGTTTTTAAGAAGTGATTGGACTTTTTAAGAACTGAAATGGTCTAGGGCAGGGGTCTCAAACTCAAGGCCCGGGGGCTGAATGCGGCCCGCGGGAGTCTTAGATCTGGCCAGCAGAGCTGCCCTAGAAACAGTGA